ATAGTAGATTCATAAATGTGTAAGATGGATTCTGAAAAGAACAATTTTCTGGCACAATAAAATGAACCTACTTTCTGTGCAGTAGACGCAGCTATTGATTCTATTTAGCAGTTCCACTTCATCTCGCTCTGTCTCTGTCTGTCTGTCTGTCTGTCTCTCTCTCTCTCGATATATATATATATATATATATATATCGAGAGAGAGAGAGAGAGACAGACAGACAGACAGAGAGAGAGAGAGATTGGAAACAAACTGAGATAGATAGATAGAAAGAAACTTGACAGAAAACAAATAAGACGCGTTGTTGGCATTCTATACTCTACGATGATATCACACATGTCACTATAGAAGAAGAAGGATGAGAAACTGATATCTGACAGCATGAGAAAACTAAGAAAGAATCCGTTTGCAGAAAACTGACGAAGATGGAAGAGACTGGTGGACAGCACCACAAGAATTGTAGAGGTGCCGTCTTCTGCTGATGACGAAGCAAAACTTTCAGTTAGTAAGTGTTGTACTTTCAATGAATATTTATTAACTATTTAAATTTACTTTTTTCTGCTTCCGGCTTCATTTATGGAGCACGAGGTGGAGATTTATCGAAAAATCCAGTTCCATAATGGCAGTTACCCAGATTGTAATCCCTCGTAAAGTAGGTGGTCACAGACAATCCCTGATACTTCAGATGCTCCCCCCCCAAAAAAGGGTTAATAATTGGTCCTTTCTTGTTATTTTCCTTTACTCCACCTCTTTCTCTTTCTCTCTTTCTCTCTCTCTCTCTCTCTATATATATATATATATATATATATATATATATATAGAGAGAGAAAGAGAAAAACATTGAAACAAACTGAGATAGGTAGATAGATAGATATAGATTGTTAGACAAACAGACTAGAACAGATAGATAGATAGATAGATAGATAGATAGATAGATAGATAGATGAACAGATTGAGATAGATAGATAGATAGATAGATAGATAGATAGATAGATAGATAGATAGATGACTTCTTTAGGATTTATTTCAGTTTTCCTTCTAAGTGTGCCATCAACACAGTCACCTATGTATCTTCTGTTGTTAAGACCAGAAAACCAAATCAGTCACCCATTAGCGCGATGGTTACTAAACCTATTAAGCAGACCATTTGAATACTGTAAATTAGATTTTCACTAAGTGATTAAATAGTGTGAACTAGGCAAAATTAATTAACTACCTGGTCATTATGACATATGGAAATAGTGATGTGGTTTAGCAGCAACTCTTCACGAATTGCTATTTATCCCCATCGATTCCCACTAACAAGTGGCCTTGTACCAGACTAATTTAAATTTAAGCTAAACTTAATATATCCCTACAGTGACTACATCGACACACTTTTGTGTCGAGTACAGAATTGTGTTTTCAATTTTTACATGTCTCCACGTTCGTAGCCTTGTGCCAGACAATGTTACGCTGAGTAAATAAACATAAAGAAAACTTCGGAGCATAAGTCAAGAAAAAGTCAATGTTGGAAAAGATGAAGAGAGGAGGAGAAAGGATAACAAAGGAAAATGAAGAGAGAGAGAGAGAGAGAGAGAGAGAGAGAGAGAGAGAATGAAGAAAAAGAAAAGAGAAGGGAGAGATAATAACGAAAGAGAGAAAAAAGGATGAGAGAGAGAGAGAGAGAGAGAGAATAACGGAGAAAAAGAAAAGAGAAGAAGGGAGAAATAATAATATAAAAAGATATATAAAAAGAGGAAAAAGGACGAGAGAGAGAGAATAACAGAGAAAAAGAAAAAGGAAGACGGGGAGAGATAATAAGAAAAGAAAAGGAGAAATGATGAGAGAGAGAGAGAGAGAGAGAATAACAGAGAAGAAGAAAAGGGAAGAGGGGGAGATATAATAAAGAAGAAAAAGAAAAGGGGAGAGGTAATAACGGATTAAAAAGGAAGGGGGAAAAAGAGAGAATAACGAAGATAAAGAAAAGAGAAGAGGGGGGAGACATAATAACGAAGAAAAGGAAAAAAAGGAAGACGAGAGAGAGAACAAGAAGAAAAAAAAGAAGAGAAATGTGATAATTAAGAGAGACATTAAATATAAGAACGAATACCGTTGAAGCTAGAAAGAGTAGTACTGAGGGAATTGGTTGCGCTTGAATAGCCCCACCCATATATTGAAACTTTATGCATCCACCTAGCACTGAGTAAATACATTTTACTCTTTTACGAGACATAATATTTTTATCTTAAGACAAGGATAGTGAATCATTGCACCTTCTCGGTTTAACGTTCTCAGCTGAGATGAAATGGAAAGACTATATTGAATCTATTACTAGGTCAGCTGCTAAGAAAGATGGTTCCCTGTGTCATGAGAGACAATTTTTATCTCCTAAATCTATCTTACATATCTATCAGTCTACCATACGCCCAAGCTTAGAATTTTGCTGGTCCGGTTGCAACTGCTATTTGCCTAGAGCTCCTTGGTAAAGAAGAATCAGCAATATTATTGGTCCTGATCTGGCGGCTCGGCTTCAGTTACTTTCTCACCTTCGTAAGGTTGCCTCCCTGTGCCTTTTCAGTAAATAATTTCATAGTGAATGTTCGCATAAGTTCTTCGCTATGGTACCCAGACTTTTTGAATTTAAGCGCAGTACTAAACATACTAAAGAGCAAAAGTTCTCCTTTTGAAGTTTTCGTTTATCAACGTACATTTATCACCTTATTTTTCGTTTGCAACATGGCGGACTTACTGTCAAATGCTGATATCTGTGTTTCTTCGTCTGTTATCAACTGGCTACAATTGTGAAACAAATAAAGGTGCCGGGGCGATTAAATTATTTCCTTCAGTTCATTCTCTCTCCCCATGGCACGTTTATTTTTTTTCTTCAAAATATTTTCTCCACGGCACTATTATTTTGTTCCACTTTTTATTAAACATATAAAAAATTAGCAGACGAATGTTTATTTGAACCGACACGTATATTTTATAAGTTGAAAACATTCCCACCAGCGATACTACGGCACTTGTATTTGATACAGAAGTGGAATCAAAATTTCGAGTATTTCAAATTCTTAACGAGAATTTCTGTAATTGTAATTTTTGTTACTCTTCTTCACAATTACAAAAACCATCATCCAATGGACATTCATATTAAATATTATCTTTAATTTTTAGGAGAGGAAGCATTGTCAGCCATTAATTTTTGACTAGTATTTCTTGATGTATATACAAGGATATATATATATATATATATATATAAATTGTATGGATATGAGTTTGTGACCCTGGGTTTCACGCCCTTCCGATGATCAGACACAATCATTAGCTCTGTCGCTGATATTGAGCACTTAACAATAAGTACCCTCATATATATATATATATATATATATATATATATATATATATATATATATATATATATGTGTGTGTGTGTGTGTGTGTGTGTGTGTGTGTGGATAGATAGATATTAACTGATATAAACAGACGGACAGACATATTTATATATATATATATATATATATATATATATATAGATAGATAGATAGATATCTGATATAGACAGATAGATATATATATATATATATATATATATATATATATAGATATTAAGATATAGACAGAGGTAGATAGATATATATTAACTGATATAGACAGACAGACGGACGGACGTAGATAGATAGATAGATAGATAGATAGATAGATAAAGATAGACAGCCAGCAAGACGGACAGATAGATATATAGATAGATATATACACAGACAGACAGACAGACAAACCGATAGATAGATAGATAGATAGATAGATAGATCAAACAGGCCACACTGGCTTCTTGAACATAATATAAAAGGTTAATACAAAATGTCGGTTTCTAGTCATAAATGATTTACAATTTGCTTGAAAGAAAAATCATGTTGAACTTCACTTTTAACAGAATTGTCATTCCCGCTTCTTAGAAAACGTATTAACTCTAATTTCGAAAACATATATACATTCCTATACCCCAGCGTTTTTCTCTATTGTTCAGTACAATTTTTAAAATGAGTTGTTGAAGTTGATAATAAAACCGATGCATACATCTGCATGTGCACAAATGACACGCTGTTCGAACTGAAGTGACTTTAGGTCTACTCAATGATTCTGGTGTAGTTGATTATTGTGCTTTTGTATGCGAATAATGGAGTGTCACCCTGCACCTTAACACTAACAGCACTTGTTTTCCCTCTTCGTCGATACAGCAGAACTAGAAAAAATCCAGCATTTCATGTATCTGTGGTATGTCACATCTGATACAAAGAGACAATATACTGGCAACTGTTAACAAAGTTTTTGATATTTTTTTTTACAGCAGTATCACTAGCAATAGCAAAAAAACAATGTCGTCGTGTACTCTTCTTTATGGTACAGAATATTGGGTAATATATCAACGCTATGTAAAACTCATTGAAAATTTCTTTTAACGTTGCCACCTTACCATTCTCAATTGATACTTCAAGATTATCAGTATAAGAATCAGTGATTATGGTGCAAGAAGTACCACTACGAAAAAAAGGCATGTGTTTAGAATGGAAAAAAAAACTGTCTGTCAACGATTCTTCTGATTGGTGAATTGTTTACAGGTTGACATAATAAAGGGGTACCATGGAAATATAATATCTCCTTCAAAAGTACTCCTTTTTCTTTGCTACTGCCAATGGATAACAGAAGTTATTGACTGGGAGATACGATGACACTATTTTTCCAGGTGATTTCACTTTTGAAGAAAAAAAAGAAAATCCCAAAACTATAAACAAGTAGAAGGGAAAATATTGTAAAAAATTCATTTTATGCCTAAATGTTGGCTCATCTTTTCTAGTCGATTTAGCAGAGCATGCGTACCTGAGTTATTTATTTATTTTGAATATATATATATGTGTGTGCGTGCGTGTGTGTGTGTGTGTGTGTACTTGTGTGTGCGTGCGTAGATAGATAGATACTATTAATTAGTATACATTTCCCTTAACGTTAGGTACGCTTCTGAGTTCCATGTTTTGTGTATGAAACTGCGAGGAAAAATATATTCACTATTAGTATATAAATTTTAGCTTTTATTATATTACATCGAACATCGAGCACTGTGCTAATGTATATATATATATATATATATATATATATATATATATATATATATTAAGGAAGACCGTATTAGGAAAATGATCTGTGTATGCGTATGGGTAGGTATATCCTAACTTTGGTATGTGCCTACATGTGCCTTGTATATATATATATATATATATATATATATATATATATATATATATATATATATGTGTATGTGTGCGTTCTTATATATATGTATATGTGGATATGTGGATGTGTATATATATGTGTGTGTCTGTTTAAGTTCGCGTTTGTATGTTTTTTTTATATATATGGTTGTTTGTATATCTGTATATATATGTTTATGTTTCTATATATATATATATATATATATATATATATATATATATATATATATATATATATATATATATATATATATTTGGTTTGTTTACGTTTTTATGTTGCTGTGTGGGTTATTTTTGTGTATGTGTATATATGCATATACGTATGCGTATATGTACGTGTGTGTATATATATATATATATATGTGTGTATATGTGTGTATGCGTGTATATATATGTGTGTGTATATGTTTGTCTGTAGGTAGGCTTTTCTGTATTTCTGTCTGTAGTGAAGAATGTGTATACACATATCTGTATGTAGTTTTTATTTTCTTTCACATACTGTTATAGTTTTGTACTCGTGTATGTGCACTAGTGCGTATATAGGTATATATGAAATATATTTATATATATATTTGTGTGTGTGGAGGTTTTGTTTTTATATATTAGATGGTGTTATTTTTGTGCGTATATATCTATTTTTCTGTTCATGTCTATCAATTTTAATGTCCTTTCTTTCCCTATTGATTGGTTTTCTGTTCTGCCCATGTTGAATTTTATCTATTCTACCATTTTTATCTATGTATATTTGCCCGTATAAGTTAAATTTTAATAAGTTGTGAGAATTCGTTTAATAACACTTTCAAACTTGAACATTTCTTGGTAGGTGTATCGGCGAGTCTTTATCAATGTATGTGTGTGTATGTACATGTCTTTATCGGTGTCTATGTGTACCTTTCATTGTGTATGTATGTTGTGCTTTTTTTAAGAGTCGTGGGGATATTTCCTGTCTCGTCGCTTTTTTTGTGTGTGTATATATCTAAATACGTCTGTATTATAATCTGATTGTATATGTATTGTCGTTAGGAAGATGTCATCTTCCTCTGTTTATGCTTCAAATGTCTCTATGCTGTCATGAAGTTCAGAGCAACATTAGATCTTAAAGTTTATTCCAACTTAATTTCAATAAATACAAAATAAATAGAATAACATGTATTTTTTCTTTTTTCTTCAGTAATTTTATAATTTTAAACTTAATATAGATTAAATTTAAATTTTAAAATGGGAAAATTTTTATTTGTAATTTCAAATTTTGTCGTATAATTTAATATTTATTAGTTAGAATAAATTCTATTTTAGTCTAACCCCAACATTAAAGCATTAAAAAATTATTATAAACTTAGTTCGTTGTCAAGTTTTTTTAATTCTCGTATACTTGTATTTTGATTGGTCATTCCAGCTTATGTAACAGTTTCCCCTTAGCGAGGGGTGTTTGAGGGATTTGAACCTTTTAAAACCCTTCATTCTGCATTCAACATCATCACTTGATAAGACACCACAGTTGTTGAAACAAAATGGCTATTTATGTAGTGATTTTATAAAATATATTTATGTTATAATTTTCGAATAAATAATTATATTTGTTCTACTCTGTATTGAACACTCTTTTAAAAATAGTATATATATATATATATATATATATATATATTATAAATTTACTAATTTAAAAATATGGTCCTATCGCTACACAGGAATTACCATGTTTCAAAAACAGAAACTAAAACTTTAAATTTAATTATAGAATTAAATTAAAATCCTTAATACTGTTTCATTTTCAAGCGATTTTTGGAATAACTTATTTTGAAATTTACTGAGTTTATAAACACATACATTCTTGATATTAGTTGCTAAGGTTACGGTGAAATTCAATCATTCTGATAAGGGGTGGTAGGGTATTCATTTTCAGACAACCTATGCATCAAAATATGAGTTACTTTCAAAATCAGGTTACGGTTGGGTAGGGTGCCTGTTCAACAAATGATGACATCCGCTTTTCGCATGTCATCTGTTTTTTTCCAATGACAAAAAGTTTTTTGGCATTTTTATTTTGCCGTTTAATTTATAATATACACATTTTTTTTCAAAAGTGTCGTTTGAATATGAGTACGTCGTATTTTTAATATTTAAAATCCATTCCTACAATTTTAAATTATTATTCCTAATTCTAATTACTAATAGACTATACGTTTTTCTTACACAAATAAATATATTAAAATTAATATCTTATTTAAAAATTATTATTCAAAGAGCAAGTAAAAATGTGTATGTTTCATTTTTCATCTTTTTTCTTCCTATTTTCACATTTAATCATTGTTTAAGGAAAATCTTTGACAGTGTCTTCAAAAATAGCTGTTTCATTTCTTTGATTATGTAAATTTTTATTTTTCATAAATTTAATAATGTATAATTTTTCATGTATGCACAAAGTACATAGGTCATTTAATGACCTACAAACTCTAGCTTTTTTTTATTAATTTGCATTTTACAGTCGGTGTTTTATTGGTTTCCTTTAAGTACCAGAAATATTATGATAGGGATGTCTGATTTCGGTATTTACTTATTTTAAAAGAACTTTGATGTTGGTTCCAACGCCTTTGGAATTCATGTCTTGTGCATCCAATGTAGAATTTAACTTTGTCAGAATCCTCAATAGATGAGATATTGCATTGGTACAATAATGATTCAGTGCGACATTTATTATTAAGAGGAGAGTTTTGAGGATTTCTACAGTTACATATATATATATATATATATATATACACACACACATATATATATATATATATATATATATATAGAGAGAGAGAGAGAGAGAGGATATCTACAGTTTATATATATATATATATATATATATATATATATATATACATATATATATATAGAGAGAGGATATCTACAGTTATATATATATATATATGTGTGTGTGTGTGTGTGTGTGTGTGTGTGTGCGTGCATGTATTACTTGCATTATTTACATTATTACGACTGTTAACATCTTGATTTGCCATGTTTCGATCGATGTACGCTCCAACCTTATTCAGGTGATTGGAATTTCGAACCGAACACTTTATGTAGTTTACCGGGGTAGTTCCCCTTCCGGTCTCAGTTATTTCCCTTCAACTATAGAAGTTTGGATATTGAACTCACAACTTTTTCGTTTTAGTCGATAGATCAAAACTACGTCTTTATCCACTGTGCCATGTGTTCTTGAGGACATCTGTGCATGAATTTTCGGGACTTATAAACCTAATGTCTCAGCAACCGTTTTTCCCACTGCTCATATTGCAATTTTTGTTGTTATTGATTACTTTTCTCTAGCACTCCTTATTGCTGGTTCACATATTGTACTCATTTCTACGCTTGGTTGGCTTACGGTTTTTTTTATAGCCTAGCATATGTGCTGATTCCTTAAGTTTTCGTATTTTCCAGTGATGCTCTCTCTCTCTCTCTCTCTCTCTCTATATATATATATATATATATATATATATATATATATAGCACAGTTATAGTTTTTAACTGATAACTTTTATAAAACATGCACTGAAAGTGCTTAATACTATGAAAACTTAATACTTAGAGAAAGCACAAAAACAAAATATAATAAATATAAATTATCTTAGCTACTTCATTGGCTAACATGTTTAATAAATTTTATACTTTATATTTTTACTTTATATAAAATTGAAATGGACACAGGAATCAAGACTGCATAGTGACTATCAGTTTTAATATTCAGTGCGATCCAAGTACCACGGGCACTATATATAGATCACTGGGAGGTTAAGTAAAGTTGGATTGCTAAGGAAGTGTGATGTTGCTTTTTCTTTTAATGTAATTATCTACCATTATTTCGAATAATTTATTGTTGACTCATGAAAATTGTTGTTTTTTCTACTACTCATATTTGGCGTAAGTTATCAGCAGCATTATCGCGATAGGTAATAAATAAATAAACTCTTTTTTAAATCAATTCACCCCATGCAAGGCAGTAAAGCTACTAAGTCACAGGTGGTTACTGGGTGCGGAAAAATTTGAAAATTAAGGAGCGAGAACAATAGTAGAGTAATCAGGAAGACAATAGATAACGATTGATATTGGATTTAAATTTTTGGAGTCAAATTTGTCTGGAAAGCATGAAATTGGAAGGATGTTCCACAAGGGAAAAGTACGAGAAGAAGAAACTGTTGGTATAGAACTTACAGTTGCATCTAGTGAAAATTGATGAGACCTAACTGCCAATCCAGTATTGCGCTTAAATTTATAAAGTCGATGTACCATAGCGAAGAGCTCAT